AGATGAATTATGTACTAAGCGTGTAATTACACGTAGCAAAATATGCACTTTTATTTGGTGGATATGTGCATAGTGTAGTGAATAATGTACTTAGGAGTAATGAACATAAAGTATTATTTAAAAACAAAACAATTAAAAGTAGTTGGTTTCCTTGAGCTAAAAAAAAAAAAATCTGGAATCTTCCTTTTATTTATTCCAATAGTGATGTCATGGAAGGCAATCGTCAAAGACGAAAGGAAGAACAATTTCCCTGATATTCATAATCTTTTGATGTAGGGAAAAGGCCTTTCAAATTTAAAGTGTCTAGAAATATCTTTGTGGCCTTAAAGAGGTCCTAAATTTAAGACATTTACAAATTCAGTCTCCTCAAATGAGTACCTTGGTATGATTTTGAACTTTTATGTTTGTAAAACTGAGATGGTCCAAACTACGACTTGTTTTCATCACATAGCCAGGCCTTCCTTTATGATTTTTTGTGAATAAATTACGGTGTAGCTTTTGTGATGTTGTTTTTTGTTGAAAACTACTTGAAACGAGTCCTCATTTGGATGCAAAAGTAGTAAGAAAATGAATTAAGATTTTAGGGTGACTATTTTGATTTTTTCCTTTGAAGCATATTACACAGGACAGATTTCTAAATTCACTTATTCTTTCTTCTCTCTCTCTCCCTCCTTCCCTCCCTCCCTCCCTTCCTTCCTTCCTCCTTTTTTCCTTCTTCCTTTCTTCTTCCCTCCCTCCTTCCTCTTTTCCTTCCTCCCTCCCTTTCTTTTTTGTAGTTTGGTAAAAACTCTACATTATTCTTCACCTTTCTTTTCCTGGAGCTGAAGTTTCTAGGTGAAATATAACTTTATGAGTCCATAATAAATAAGATATCAGCACATAAAGACTTTGGTGAAGGATTAAGAATATGGCCTTAAAAAATAATAGTGCTCTACAGTATAGGACATTTTTTCAGTTTGGAAGACTTTCTCAGATGGCTAATTCCTCTAAGGAATCAGGTTAAGTATATCAGCACAATGACCAAATTTATATCTTTAGAAAACAATGTAATTCACTGTCATTTCTTTCAGCTAGCAAAGGAGGACCAATTTAGTAATCATCACCCTATATGTTATTTAGGAGAATTTGCCAATTTTCACCCTAACGGGTTTCATACACTGGAGAACAGAGACAAGTAAACTTTTAAAATTGTGTCACAATTCCACATCAGCTAAGTATTATCACAGCCCTAACTGAGCCTCTTCGTTTTTTTGTTTTGTTTTGTTTTGTTTTGTTTTAGGGCAAAAGCAATTGAGGAATTCTGGGCTTATCTAACTGTGCCTTTATTCCCTTATTTGGTGCTAAGCTGTATTTCATTAAAAGTGGCAGCACTAAACATTTTGGTCAGTGTTCCCATCTGATTACTGGGGGCTTAATTTTGAAAGCGTGGGGTGGTGGATTAGTCATATTCTTGGGAAATGGGAGCTTTCTTCCCCTAAAGGTAAAGCCTGAACATTAAAAAGTGATGAATGCCTCTGGATTGTTATTCTAAGTCATATCAATTGCACGTCAAGGTGTTTTTTGGTACTGGGTAATTATCATTACCCACCTCTTCCTCACACGGTGTCCAGGCATTCCTGCCTTATCTTGTGGGTGTTGATGGAGACCAAGGTCCTAAAACCTTCCCCATCTTCTAAATATTTTATTCAACCCACAGCCCTGCAGCTCCACTGTACTCTGATGTCTGTGGGGTTTCCTAGCTTTTACAATATTGTGGCTGAATGTAAACCCGAAAAGAAAGAAAATAGTTTTTTAGAAATATTGATATAAGTTGCACCTTTTCTCTGTCTGTACTTCCTTAGAAAAATAAAATGTATTTTTCAAGTGTTTATTTGTTCTTTGAAGATTATTTGCTCAAGAAAAATGTACTCTTACAATTTTTTTTGTTCTTTGAAGATTATTTCATCCAGTCAAGACAATTGTTATCTCGAATGATTTTCCTTTTAAAAGAGTAATATTTTGTATGTCTAGCAAAGTTTAATCTTAACCTTTATTCTCCTGGAGAGAGCAATAAGGTTGGTATATGTAAACTCAAAACTTTGATAATAGAAGTCAAAACTTTATTTAACTAGACTAACCTGCCTGCCACTCAATCTAACGTTTCTCTCCCAAGTCAAGCTAATATGTAAATAATATAACCAACTTTGTGTCTAAAATATTGCCGTGGAGTCAGAACCCTGAATTCCAACCAGATGTACTTGTGGAGTGTTACACAGGTCATATATATTTCACTTTTTTTTTTTTTGGTTCAAACCCAGGGGGTCGACAATATAATTAGATTGAGAACATATGTAGTAAACAGATCAGTTTCCTTATCCTTCCCCACGGGAGGAAGTTTTTTAAAGCCCCTGCACATTTTAGCTGGTTAGCTACCTTGAGGGCAATTCCCAGGTTTCTCCTGCCTGCGGGTCCCCCCCACCCACGCACAATGGCAGGGGAGACGCAGACTGTCGGCAAATGTGGGATTGGGGAAGAATGGTTACAAGTAGCATTTTTCAGGTAGGAAAGGATCAAAGTGGCAATGTTGCTTCCTGCTAGGAACCGGACTCCGGGACAGGGCGTGGCCAGGAGTGGGGCAGGGCCGCGCGCGCGGGTGGGCACGTGCGCTGGGGACCCGAGGACCCGAGGACCCGAGCGTCGGGGCACCGCTGCCCTCTACCGGGCGGCGCGCTCGGAGCTGCAGCGCGGCCGGCGCCCCACACCCAGGCCGCCCTCGGCCATCCAGGGTCCCCGGTGCCCTGCCGGGCGTAGCGTCACAGCCTCTGGGCCCCTGGCTGGCGTCGCGCCCCCCTGACGCCCGCTCCGGCGCGCGCGCGTCACCACCTGCTTCCTGCCTCTCCTATAAGTCAAAAGCTGCAGAGTGAACCAATCTCAACATCAGGATCCTCTTCTTAGTGACACCAAGGCCCCTGGCCACCCTTGCAAGACTTGAGGACACTAGTGTTCTCCAGATGCGCGGGGGGACGACGACTTTCATTTCCAAGTCCCTTCCTTCAAAAAATGCGAAATTAATTGCCCTGATCATCGCTAATCCCTTGAACTCAGTTGAAAAGCAATTCTTTTCTACTTTCATGTTTTACTTTGTATTCCATACAGATTTTATTTACATAGACTTTTCAAGATTAAGGAATTTGGGGATTTGTTTTAACTAATTACACGTTAAATGAAGTGCACGCGAGAAAAAGTACAGTAATTCCTCCAGGAATCTCTAAATCGCACGTGTGTGTAATCAATTAAAGATGACGATCATAAAACGAGTGTTTTGGGCCAGGTTTCTGCGAAGACGGAAATCAAAAGAGAATTAAAATTTTTTTCTTGGTTTAAATTTTAGCATGATTGTAAACTTGGGATCACTTACGCTTTCTGTTTTTAAGTGAGCCAACTACTTTGCAACTTTTTGCAACCTAGAAGTGTCTGAACCACAGGGAGTTTCTTGCAGAAGCGATGGTGGTGGGGACACAGAACTGTGCTCCAAGACTTTTCCTGTCCTGGCCTAAAGCCGAATGTCTTAAGCAGAGGGGGGCCACGGGAACCCCAGCGCCACTGCGGTTGCTGTGCGTCCTGGTGCGACACGGAGACTGCGTGGTCAGGGTGTGGGACAAGATCGTGCGCAGCGTCCTAAGGGTCAGGGCTGTTTCCTCCCACCCCCACCTCCAACTCCAGTTCCCCGAACGTGACACGCCGTTCCCGGCCGCTGCGATCGCCGGATCCCCGCTGGGGCGCAGAGGTGGGGGGCGGGGGTGCTGCAGTCATCCGCGGCCAGAGCGCCTCGCACGCGCGCGGCTCTCGTGGGCCTGGGGGCTCAGGCAGGTGGTCATGGCTGCTCAGCGCGCCCCGGCGCTCCACACCAGGGCGAGCGAACGGGTGCTGCTACCCAAGCAGGACCCCGAAGCGGCTGCAATCGGGGGCCACCGGCGATCGCACGACCCCCCGGGGCCCGAGCGCGCCCCAGGTGAGCGCGGCCCCTGGGCCTCCCACCGGGCCCGGTTCCCCCAACCCCACCCCCACCCCCCGCCACCCTGCAGCGCCCCCTCGGGGCCGAGCCCGCGGCCACCGCGGCTGGGGCTGGGGGCGCGGGAGGGGCGGGGGTCGCGATCGCCGTGCCCGCGCCCGGGGGCGGAGGAGGGGCAGCGCGGCGCGCGCCTGGCCGGCGGGCGGCCGCCGCGTCCCCGGCTCCGACTCCGGCTCGGGCTCGGGCTCGCCATGGCTGTGGCGGCGGCGGCGCCGTGAGGAGGAGTCCGCGTCCGCCGTGGCTGCGGCGGCGGCCGGCTCCAGGCCGGGTTTTGGCGCCGCCCGCCTGCTGCCTCCTGGCGGCTCCTGAACTCCAGCCCCCTCTCTATCAGCCTCTCACTCCGTCTCAATATGTCTCAAGATGGCGGCCAATGTGGGATCGATGTTTCAATATTGGAAGCGCTTTGATTTACAGCAGCTGCAGGTCAGGCTTCTCCGCGCTCGGCCTCGCGCCCGGGGGTGGGGGCTGCGGGCGATCGCGGCCTCCCCCCGGAGCCCCAGGCTGCCCGGCCATCGGGGGGCCGCGGTTGCGGGGAGGAGGGGGGTGCCGGGGAAAGCGGGGCCGAGTCGGGGACAAGTCCCTCTCGCTTCCCGGCCCCCATTGATAACTCGCTTGATCAGAAATTGATCCTCTTTGTTCAATTCATCGATCAGCCCAAGATGGCGCCGGAGCCGCCGCCGCCACCGCTGCCCCCCGGTGTCTGCCCCCCACCCCGGGCGCCCCCCCACCCCCCCCACCCCCGGCCCTGCGCCGCCGCCGCCAGCGCTGCCGCCGCGGGACCGGGGATGGGGCGTCCCAGCGGGCCGCGGGGCGCGCGCGCGAGGGGCGCGGGGGGCGGGTGGCGGCGACGGCGGGTGCCGGGAGGGGACTGCGGCCCGGCGGTGGCGCCCGCCCGCGCGCCCGCGCCCCCAGGCCCGCCGTATTCCCGGGGAAAGTTTGTGGGGAGTTGCTGTGGGGGGTGAAGCGCCTGCCTCTCCAGGAGGAGCCGCCGCCGCCACTGCCGCCGGCGCGGCGGAGCTGGGGCTGGTGGCGCTGTGGTGCCGCCGGCTCGGGGGAGGGTCAGAGCGGCCACCGGCGGCAGCGGCGGCGCGGCCCGGCTCCGGCCAGGCGGGCGGGTGGCCGGGCGGGAGGGCGCTCGCCGCTCCCTGCCCCGGGCCGGCCCGGGGGGTAACCTGGACGTCGTCCCCGACTGTCAGGGGGTACTGCGCCGCCGCTGCCACCTTCGACAACCCGGCGGGGCTCCCAGCGGGGACCTTTGGTTTGTTTACGTCCCGGGAGCGCCGGGGGCCACCCGCAAGCCCAGCAGGCGCCCCGATCTTTTGTGTGCCGGCGCGAGTGGCGCGGTCCTGTCCTTCCGCGCCCGGAGACCCTCCGCTGGGGCTCTTTGGGGGAACTTGGCGGTTGGCAGCGGGGGCGGGTAGATCGCAGCGCCCGGGACCGCCCGGCGGGCGCGGGCGCGGGTGCGGGAGGAGGGCTCCAACTTTCTCGGTGCGCAGGCCCCGCGCCGCGCGCGCCGGCTGCCCGGGCAAGGGGGCGCTTCCTGTCCGCCACCAATCTCGGCCACCACGCTGCGCGCTTGGGGACTCCCGCGACCCCCTTCCCCCCTGCCCAGTGACTCGCTGCCCCGCCGAAGCGACACTCCTGTCCTCTCCCCGGGGGTCCTGTCCTCTGCAGGGTCCTGGGCGCTATGGAGCGCGCGGCAGGTCCGCTCCGAGGTGTCTTCTCGGGCCAGGTTCTCGAAAGCCAAGTCCCGGGGTCCCCGCTGGACTGTGGCGAGCTGGGTGGTGGTCCCCATCCTGCGCCCGAGCTGCCGGAGTGCCTCGGGGGCGAGGTCCTGCCTGCCATCCCCAACCTGGAGGAGCAGCGCGCCCTTGGGGTCCGCCCCGCACGTGCCAGCCCCGCGATCGCGGCGCCTGGACAGCCCCGGGACTCTGCCAGGTGGATGTTGTGCGTAGCCGGAGCCAAGTTGAAGGTGAGCGGCGTGTGTGTCACAAGCTCTGAGCATCGGGGGACATGGGATGGGAGGGACAGCCCTGGGATTGAAGGCCCCCTCCCCCGCGGTGGCCTTGCGCTCCAGGGGTCTGGGGAGCGGCTGCTGCTCCCAGCTCTAAGGTGTGTCTGAAGGTGAACTTGGCTGAACTTTGCTAACCCAGAGGACTGGTAGTGACCGGCAGCACCCTTAGGAATATGAAGCCCTCGAGCCCAGTGGCGTGCCTAAGAGCAGTGTGACAACTTTAATTGTATATGCTTGTTTTGTACTCTTGCCTACGGAAGAACGGTAGAGTCCCCACTGTCGTTATGAAATTTCCTTAAATTTCTTGCTCAACGAGGAAGGAGACTATGTGAAATATGTGTTTCCGATAAGATTAAAACTTAAAAGAGTTCGGGTATTTATTGACTAAAATAGATTACTCCGAATTGTCTATTGTGTAAATTAGATTCCCCAATGTAATGAACACAGCCGAATGGCATTTTTGATAAATTGGTCTACCCTGTTTTAGTAAAAATAGCTGCCTTTTGCCATAATTTAATTCCCGTGCTTACGGTAAAACCCGTTGTGGAGTTTTAAGAGACAAACCTTAATTCCCTGCCCCCCTTCCTAAATGTGACATCCTACCTTAATATCAATGAACTTTCTATTTTTTGTAAGCATCCTGGCCGAATTGCTGGCAAATAGATTTGGTTTCTAGAGAGTTATTAGGGTTTATAAACTTGGTATAAATAGCCCCCCCTCTCAATTGATTAGCTATTTCTTCATTTCCTTTACAGTTTACTTGAATGAACTTTACATTGATCTTAAAAAAAAAAAATCATTTCTCTGCCCTTCTTTTCCCTGAGCATCCCTTGCTTTTTGGAGGTAGATAACGACTTAGATGATTTCCTGTGGCCATGTTTGAAACCATCAGTTGAACACAGAAGGCTAAGGTTCAAGTACAAGGCCAGTCTGGTCCTTTCTTCTGGCCGGAGAGAGGCCCCTTGAGTTGGTGTCTGGTTGCCTGTTTTCTCTGTTCACACAGACAGTAATGGAGCCAATGAGACTGAAGTTTGAGCAGGAATTTTTTATGTTCAGGCTGCTTTTCTTTCTACACCCTCTCACACCGAGATCCTTTTGCCCACAAGTGCGGTGTAGGTCACAGCACTGCCACTTGAGGGTGGAGGCTGAGTCTTAGCTAGATAGAGCCAGTTGGAGACCATGTTGGCCTGGACTGGGAGGAGGTCAAGGCTGATGTGAAGCCTCCCAGGGAGCCAGGGCTGTCTTCTGGTTCCTCTGCTTCTTGGGTCTAGAAGTTGCCTTTGGACTTGAAGTTGAATGGCCAGGAAGAGGGTTTCTGAACATCCACTCTATTTTGTTTCCTTTTTCATCCCAAAGGCTTGTGGTGTGGAAGTTTCAGTGCTTTGGTGTTGCTGAGACTAGCTGGACAAGTTTTTACCCTATCCCACACTTGTAAAATCCAGACTTTTTTTTTTTAATAAGAAAAACACCATTGTATAAATTTATCTTTTAAATACATGTCTGCAAAGAGGACACTTTCTTAAAATAAGCTCATGTAACTCTGCTACGTGTTGAAGAGATCTGAACTTTTTTGGGATGGGGCCTGCCCAAGACTGGCTTCCCTTTGGGGCATTTAAAATTTTTTTTCATGGTGACCTGTGTTATTTTTAAGGATTCTTTGCAAAAGTAAACTTTAAAAGTCCTCTTTTTCAAAAGAGAAAATAATTTTAGTTTTGCAGAGTCTTTTTTTCTGGTTGTTTTTGTTTTCTTCTGTTACAGAGTGTGTTTCTTACCAGCTATTCAAGACTGTTCGCCATAATAAGTCTACTACCTTAAGTAAACTATTCCATCTAGTACTTTGATAGAATGACGGATAAACAAATGATTCTATTGCTTCTGTTTTTCTGTTCTTGGTTCTTTTTTAATATGGGTGTCTTAGAGATTGGGATTGAAGCATCATTATCAGTTGATTAAAGTTTGTGTGTGTAAATCAGTGCAGGGAAAAAGTTAACACAGTTCCGATGCACTTGTGGGCAGAGGTCTTTTTGCCTGTGTCCCCAATTTCATGTGTCCTCTGTCAGTAGTTAGCTAACACAGAAAAGATGAAAAGGGGTCATGCTAATCCACCAAAATTAACCTGCTGCCTGGTGACCCCACTGAACTCAGGACCTTTAATGGCTGCTTAAAAGTCTGTTATTGCTATTCACATAAGAAAAACTGGCCAGGGTTTATGTGGGGCTCAGCAGATCCCTACTGACAGAGCTGTTCCTGGGGCTGTCAGGAAAACAAGGCGACAAGTAGAAAAGCCATAGTGAAATGAAAGATGAATTTGTTAGAGGAAAACTGGTAAGTTTTTTCTTTTTGGGAGAAACTTTTCATGAAAAATCCTACAGAGCTAGGCTTACTTCCTACCCTTTTCCCCTATCTGTACACTTCCCATGTTTGGCTCACGTAAATTTCACTTACTTAAAAGTCAGATTATCTGCTGGGCTGTAACACAAATGCTTACTGTAAAAGTCGCTCTAATATATAGAATCCTAAGTTACTGTTGGAATTATTTAAAACCTGTTTCAAGCCACTTAACACACCCCCCCTCCAGCCATGAAAAGGCTGCTTTTTATTAGCGATTGTCAAAGGCAGAATGTATCTACCTACCCCTTTTGTTTTGTCTGAAGCTCTGTGTTAGCTCTACAGAGATACAGTTTTGGTTTCAACTGCAATTTCTCCGCCTCTGATTGTTTGAACCAGACCCTTAATCTTATTTTAACATATTTAAAAAGTTCAAAAAACCCGGAAGAATTGTTTTTGTATAAGTAGCAAGTGAAAGTAGTTTAAACACTCAAGCAATTCTGGTATGTAATTGGAAACAGGTGGAATTCTTGGACTCTTCGTGTTTGAGTTTTGCTGTAGCCAAGCAGGCACAGGGACGCTTTCTCCTTGTGTCTGTTCTCGTGTCGTCGGGTGATTTGAAGAGGGCTCACAGCAACCTCTCATTCTCCCGCTGCTGCCCACCTGGACGTTCCATTCGCGCTGAGCTTTTGAGGGGTGTGGGTGGATTCCTGTGAAAGCCCGGACACAGAGAAAGCTGCATGCGTGGTGACAGTGGCGTGAAGCAGGACATAATTAGACAGGAGATTTATTATCTGTGTTATTGTGTGTCTTTTATAGCAAAGAAGTTGTGAATTCGTTTGTGACTTTGATTTAATTACACATCTTGACCTGAGGATGTAGGTACGTTTTTATTCCATCCTGATGAGCGGGTTTAGGATTGAGAGAAATTTTTCTTTAAAAGTTCTACCTTTGGAAATGTTAACTTGATTTGGGGCATATTTGAGTGCAGAAGTAATGATGAGCTGTCTGAATTGCCCAGATCATTTTTCCTGCTTTAGTTTTCAAGGTGTGACCTGTGCACCCACTGGCAGCCCTACATTTCAGAAGCAGGCTTTGGGTTGTGCGTGGGGCGATGGATCACTCTGAAGAGGACCACTGACACCCAGATTGAGCTGTCAGTCCTGCGTCTGGTTTATGCTTTGCTGGGCTGCGGTGTGTCCCTCTCCTAGCTGGATTCTGAGAAGCTAGTGTGAAGACAGAGTTCCCAGGGAAGGGGGTGTCCCTGCAGGAAGCGAGCTGGAATCCAGGGACACCCCAGCCTATGCCTTTGGTCCCATCTGTGTCACACCTGCAACAGCTTCCAAGCACCTGAGTTGTGACTTTAGGATTTTTCAAAAAGTGCTTGTGCTACACCCTACTTACAACCCAGTTAAAGAATATAATGAGGTGAACAACTCTTTTAGAAAGACATCTAATTTAATTTGTTGCAGACTTTCCTTTTAAAAAGCAAACAGCTCTCTGATTAAAAAAAAAATTCTCATTCTTGCTGTAATTAAATTCCAATAGCATGATGTTAGCAAGCCAAAAGAAAGGTTGTCAATTTCCTCATTTGAGTTGGAAGGCTTTTCCTTACTGTAGGGGGCCCAGATTTTTGTGTTTGATAGAGGCCTGGGCAGCTGGACAACTTCTGTGGCCACAGCATGGCTGGACCCCCCAGGAGAGCGTCTTCCTACCTAGAGGAAGCTAGTCAGACAGCAGGCAGGAGTAAGGAGCCTCAGGGTTTTTCTGCCAGGGCTTTCCTAACTGCAGAGCAAGGCATAAAGAAACAAACAGGTCCTGATTCCTTCCATTTATGTGTTTGTGAAATTGACGAGGGCATACCAACATTTCTGGTCGCACCTCTGTACCACCCAAGATCCAGTGGCCTGGCCTTGGGGATCTCACACAATCTTTGATGCTTACAACTATTTGTGATGTATGAAATTAACACAGGAGGAGATGATCAGAAATGCCAAGAAACAACTTGTTCTCCCTAAGAGTTGCCTGCAGTGTCAGGCCCCAGGCCTGCTCTCTTACTGACTTCTCTCTGTGTGGCTGTACTTAGGAATAAGTAAATGCAGTTAACCAAAAAAAAAAAAAAAAAAAAAAGTCACCTGTGGCTGTGAGATGTTCCAGGTTTGGATAAGGAGAAAACAATGGGCAAATTTAGTTCTTAAGCAAAGATCGAGACACTGTGAAAGTAGAATGCCACCTCTTCCTGTCATTAAAACTTTATTGGGTGTTGACATCTTTTTGCTAGCTATAAGATGTTCAGATCCTGTTTACCCAGCACATAAAATAAAAATAAAATGAGATCAAACGCAGCTTTCTTAGATCGAGTCTACCCCCTCCCTCAATAAATTGGGACTGTTTTGTTTTCTAGCGTAGTTTTATATTTTTTTAAGACCCCAAAATGATGTGAACTCATTTTAGGTGATTTATTTAGTTGTTATTTTGGACCTGTTCTTTGGTTCTTTGGTTTATTCCCACTTTCCTTCTTGTTTTTTGAAGGGAAATTATTAGATAAAAATTATTTGAAAATTTGTAAAGGAAAACCCTTGTCTTCAAATGTCTGAAACTGCAAACCATCAGCATGGCCTGGCCGGGTT